TGGTGTTGGGAACGTGTTGAATTGGCCCAAGCTCATGTGTACATGCCATTTTCTGTGTTTATCTTTTCTGTTTACATGTCTGACCTTCTTTCTGAAACTATTTATTATGTTCTTGAAGTCTTTCATCTTGAAGAACCAGAGCTTCCTGGTGAAGGTGTTTGGTGTTGAGTTCTCTCAGTGCTGTCTGAAGAGTCTCTAGGTCTCCATCTTTCTTACACAGTAGTCCCACTGTGCACAGGAGTCTCGCTTAGCAGTTCAATTTTCTTAAATACTTGGAAGATGAATTTGTGCCATCTCATGACTTCCATTGGGAAATTAGCTCTTGGTCTGATGGAAGTTCATTTGGATATTTCCCCTTTCCCCACTCCTCCAGACCCCTGAGATGTGTTTGTATCCTAAGGAACTCGAACTGTCCTGTAACTTTCAAAATGTCTTCATTGAGTGGAATTCACTCCCATCAGCTGAGTGGTTTGTGTGTGTGTGTGTGTGTATTCAAGAGATGTGCAGGCATCACCGTGATCTGAGTTTAGAACAAGCTGGGAACCCCAAAACATTGTATCTCTTCAGGTGGTTGGCCTTCACGCCCAGCAGCGGGGCAGAGGACGCCATGTTTGATCCCATCACAGCATGTGCCCAACACAGGGAGGGAGTCTCTGGGTGAGGCTGCCCCTGGGGGATGGGAACTGTCCATTAAGGGCCACTGTTTCTATAGACAATGTTTTTTCTTCCTTAAGCATATTCCAGAGTTTCCAGAGAATGAGTGAGCATGCTGCTTTCTCTGTGGAACTTCAGGATGAGTGTAGGCTAATTTTCCTAGCCAACTGCTTCTTTTGCTTTGGTTCTCTTGAGAATATTTTATGATAGACACATGGCCTTTTTTGGGCACCCATGGATTTCATGAATAAATGAGAAAGCATCTTTGAAGTACATTCTACCTGGAACAGCATACTCTGACAGACTCCCACTGAGAGATTGTTGCCTCCTTTTGCCTTTGTAAATGTATTTTATTCTCATTTATTTAGGTACCTGTCACAAAAGAGAAAAAGGTATACTCATGCTTATTCATTAGTGACTCTTGAGGAAGTGTGCAAAAATGGACGCGGTCCCCAGGTGGATGGTTGCCAAGCCATATCGGGGTCCTGAGCAGGCTTGGTGGGGTGTTTACTGTGCAGTCCTGACCCCATGATGTACTGAGGAGCAACCTGGACTGGGAGCTCTTCAGGTGCTCAGTGCTGGGGTGGTTGTGCTGTGTCATAGCAGAAAGCCGACGGTCATGAGTTCTGGTTTTGGCCGTGCCTCAGAGAGACTGTAGTATTGAGCAAGTGCCTCATCTTTTCGGAGCCTCCACTTTCCCTTCTGTGGCGTTGTTAAGAGGCTGTGTGCCTCACAGGGAGTGAGGAGTGAGAGGCCGGGCACCTAGTGCCCCATGCCGCCAAGCTAAGGGCATCCGAGTCACCATGTAAGTAGAAGAACTGGAGAGGATTTCCAGAGGCTGAGGAGTCCCCCAGCAGCCATCTGCACACTGGACACGGGAAGCAGGAGTGTGACTCAGCCCAAGTTCAAAGACCTCAGGACCCTGGAAGCTGATGGGGTCACTCCAATCCAGAGCTAAAGGCCTGTGAACACAGAGGGCCACTGGCTCAAGTCCTGGAGTCCCAAGTCCAGAGAGCCCACGGTTCTGAACTCCAAGGGCAGGAGGAAGAGCGTCCCAGCTCTGAGAGCGTGAAACCGCCTTTCCCCTGCTTTGTTTGTTCTGCCCAGGCCCCAGGCTGATTGGATGGTAGCCGCCCACGCCAGGTCACATTCATGCCAATCTCCAGACACCCCCAGAAGTGAGGGCTTGCCAGTTTTGGGTTTTCCTTAGTTTGTTTGAGTTGACACAACATTAGCTGTCCCCGTGGTCACCCCTTCCAGTGTGGCTGCTTTTATTGTGACCCTGTATTTTCTTTTCACTGCGTGTTCCTGCTTTCAGCTGTCATTCTTCTCCCTTGTCATCATGGCTGTGACATGGCTGAATTCAAGAGAAAACTATGAATTCAGCATTCAAAATGGTATTTCTGAATTGCCAAGAGGTGCTGTTAATAGGAAAATGGAGCACCATAGTGGTAACTCTGAAACTCTCTAAAATCTCACTTTATTCTCGCTGCTCCACGGGGCTCATACCGTCCACACGCACCCGCCATTCTCGTAAGCCCACAAATGCTTTGGTCCTTCCGCAGGTGCCTTCATCTGCTTTACCTTTCTTGGTCCTGTTTTCCCATTAGTTGGCAGCCCAACCTCTTCTCTATGCTGTTTGTGACATCCCAGGTTGGCAGAAAAAGTGGCCAAATGATTGAGTATCAGCCCTGTCCCAGCTGGAGGGGCTCTGCCCCGGTATTCCCAGCGAGTTGTTTCCTGTCACACATCCTTCTAACTGATCACTCACCCTCCTTCTGCTGCCCTGTCCTACTCCACGTGGCTCTCCTGTGGGCTGAAGGCTCATGCTGGCTTCTTCCCGCACCTGAGCAGGACCCTGCCCAGTTCACAGTTCCCATGCTCCTCATCCTTCCATCTCCATTTTGGATCAGAGAGCAGAATTCTGGTGTATGAGAAGGACAGAATGGTTTCTTAGTGTTTTTTCTGAGCTTGAAGACAGATATTTGAGTTTCTTTGAGATTTCAAGGTCTGTGCCCAAATGGAGGCAATTTTCTGATGTAAATCTAACTTTTTCGCAAAATGCCCATGTTCCAGACCCTTCCAGCTGCCGGGCACTGCAGATCTGTCTTTCCAAAGGTGCTTTTGCAGCGCTGATGGAGTCCCTAGAGGTGGCTCCCTATGCTCAGCCTGCCTGTGTGTGGAGCAGAGAGCAGCAGGGCGTGGCTCTCAGCACAGAGAGGTGCTGGAATGCAGGGGAAGGAGGACCTGCTTCAGTTAGGGCAGCTAGAGAGGCTCTGAGGAAGAGCTGCATCTGGATTGAGATGGAGATTCAGGGACATCTGGGTGAGCAAGGATGGTTGCCACAAAAGTGACAAAACATGGGGCAGAACAGGGAGTGACAAGGAACGCATTTGGGCACAGGAATTGTGAATTCCTGTTGCAGGGGCTGAGGGCTGTCAGAGCTGGCTGCAGCACTGTGGGAGCTGCCTTGTCTCTGGTCTGCTCTTCACTTAGTGTGCTGTTCTTGGGATCCCAGCAGGACTTCTGCATTCTTCCCTTTCCATCCTTCATCTCCATGATTGACAGTTTTTTTTTTTTTTTTTTTTAAATTCACGATTGCCCCGTGAATATGTCAGAACCTGTGCTCAGACTCTCAGGCTCTTGGTTAATCTCCTGGAATTTGCAGATACCTGTAGAGGGAAGTCCCTGCCAAGGTCTTGTCTTGGTCTTTCTCCTCTTGTGCTAGATCTTTAGCCCTGAGATTCTCCACTGCCTCGTGAGCGCTTTCCTGCTTGGACAGATTTCAGGATGACTTTGCCTGTGTTTTCCAGTTGGTCTCTGTGCCCAGTGGGTCCGAATTGCCTGAACTGTTGGTTTCAGGAGTAGGATCTCCTGAAGTGTGAGCTGCCGTGGGACATCAAATGGGCCACAGTTGCTCACATTTGATGCTTGAATAAAGGCCTGCGAGGCAGCTACATTTTCTTTGAACTTTCTCACGTGCTCACTCAGTCTTCCCGGTCATCTTCCATGGGCACTTCTGGAGGGAACAGATCAATTTGTAATTTTCTTTATGGATGCTCAATGTTTGATTTCTGCATTCTATTTTGAATATAAGGTCTAATAAACCTTTCAAAAAGACTGTTTTTAATTTGTTAAATGTAATTTAGCATCAGAAGATTTGAAGGCTCTAAACAGAGAGTTATTTAATTTTCCTTACTTCAGATGAATATTGTTTGACATCCTGAAAATTGAATTACTTACGGGAATATATATTAGCAAATGATGTTTAAGAGAAGTTTTTTTTTTTTTTTTTTTTTTAATCACAAGCCATTTCTGTTATGCTTGGTTAGTTATAAGTTTTTCAAATACATTTTAGGCATAAGTCTTGGGTCTAAGTGATTGGGAATTTGGAAATATCTGTTTTATATGAATTAAATGTAAATGCCCTTCATCTTATAGAAACTTTACTTTCTTTTTAAATTTTTTTTTTTTTAGTTGTAGTTGGACACAGTACTTTTATTTATTTTTATGTGGTGCTGAGGATTGAACCCAGCATCTTCATGTGCTAGGCAAGCGCTCTACCGCTCAGCCACAACCCCAGCCCCAAGAAAGTTTACTTTCTTAATAGGAAGTTACTTAGGGGTTTGTTTAAGACAAGTAACATTTAAAAATTGTCATCTTACCATCTCTTTCTACCATATGCTCTTTGATCTCTGCTGTTTGCCTGCTTCTTAAGTCAGAATTAGTGTTAATGTTCAACTCCTGCACAGGCTGCCTTGGGCTGTCTGTCCTTGGAGTCTTGCTGGGCTACAAGTCTAGCATGCTTGGCGCACTCACAGGTGTCCTTGCCAGCTGGTTATTGTTAGGGAGCTCTGGCTACTTGAAAGTAATGTATTAGAAAATAATCTCTTTATGTTATTTTTTAAAATATTTTTTTAGTAGTAGATGGACACAATGCTTTTATTTAATTTTTAAATTTTTTATGTGGTGCTGAGGATCGAACCCAGTGCTTCACATTTGCTAGGCAAGCATTCTACTGCAGAGCTACAACCCCAGTCCGTCTCCTTATAGTCTTGAAAATAAAAAAACTATAATTAAAATCTCACCAATTCAGCTGGGCTCCTCTCTTCAGTAGTTGGAATGAGAGGGCCTTGTCATGGCCTTGGAGACCTGTGCAGTCTGTGGCATTTTCTCCTGAGTAAGTGGGCACTTTGTAGAATAGTAAGGACAGAAATTAGAGTGCTCTTCCTGTTGTTAGCATTTTTGAAGAAACAAAAACCAAAAAACCCCCTACATTAAAAAACAAAAGCCAAAAACAAGCTTGAGCTCAGGTCCGACTTGTGACGTTTGTTCTTGTTTCCTAGATGGAAGCAGTGTGAGCGGCTTCCCCCTGTCCAGTCCTTTCCGACAAGTCGTCCGTCCCCGAATGGAGAGCAGGCCCTCCAACGCCCCCGAGGGCAGCAAGACTGGGGACCTCAGCCACCTGAAGGTGAGTGTGCCCAGGACAGCCTGCCAGCCTGGGGCCTGCAAAGCCTTCCCAGGGTAGCCTGGCTGTGCTGCTCCAAGAGGAGAGGCCGTGTGTGGCTGGAAGTGGTTTCTGTGTTTTCTGTCATGTGGAATGCTTTGGAAAGTGGTCTGGAGGAAGCTTGGCACCTTTTTTTTTTTTTTTTTGGTGCTGCAAAGCCTTGTTTCTATGTGAGGGGATTTTGGTGGAATGAAGGAGGACAGTGGTGAGTGGACCATTTCCTGCCTCACTGGTCAGCATTGGAAAATGCATCATGGCGTGATCATTCTGCATGGGTGTTCATCCCAGCTGTGGTGGTGCCTTCCATTTGTTGGTTTATAAGTACATGGGAACAGCTTGACTGTCCCTATAAAGTTGAGATGCTTGGGACTGGCAGGCCAGCCTGAGCAGAGACTGCAGGCTGTCAGGAAGGTGTGAATGGGAGCCATCGTCCCAGAGCCCACCCTGGAGAGCGAGCAGTTGGGGAACTGCAGGACTTGGAGCTGCTGCTGCTGGAGTTCGAGTGAGCGTGTACTCCTGCCCAGCCTTTGGGGCTGCTGTTTACGGTCCTCATGCCAAAGTGTCAGGGCACGCTGACTGATGGGGCTGTTGGAGGAGCTTGACTGAGAGATGCTTGGATTAGTCACAAGGAACTGCACTGCAGGGCTGCCCCAGCAGGGCAGCATGGGTGGGGGAGGTGTTGTCTGAAGCAAGGTCTAGGCAGGAGGGACCCAGCCAATGATGTTGGTGGAGGTAGAATTGGCACCTCCTGCAGGAGGACCCGTAGTGAAGGCAGTTTGCTGCTCTGCATTGCTGTGCCCATTTCTGGTCCTCACCCAGGGGCCTGGGCATGAGGACAAGATTCCCTCCAGTAGCAGGGAGCAGAATCACACAAGCAAGAAGCTGGTCTGCTGCTGGGGGAGGCCTCAGGGTGCTGTGCCCAGTTCTCTACCTGCAGCCGCGCAGTCCTCACCACCAACCTGCGAGGCAGGGGCCATGTCAGCATTCTGTATTTTAGAGGGACACGGTGGCTTGGGCATGATAGATAGGAATCAGCCCAGGAATTTAGTGGCATAGGTATGACAGGCACCTGGCTATCCAGTGCATTCCTGTGCCACCCTCCAATATGCTGGCATGCTCAGGGATGGCATGCTCAGGGATGGCACGCCCTTGAGGCGCTGAGGCCAGAGAGAAGTGCCATACAGGAGGCTCTCATGTTCCACTGGGAGATTTAGCACCTTTCAAGCAGCATTTTCAGGTTGCTTTCTTCATGATGGCAAGTGTGCATTATTCAAGTAGAAATTACTGAGTAGCTCAGAGAGATTAACTAATATGCCCAAGGTCAAGCAGTTACTAAGTTGAAGTTAAAACTCAGACCCAGGTGTGTCTGAATCCAAAGCTTGTGCTTTTTCCACAATACCACGCTGTCTCTTTACATATAATTTCCTAAGTTTCTAAACATTGTGGGATACAAAATCTCTATTGATTCAAACTATATTTATAGAGCGGTTGTGTATAAGCTTTTTGGCCTATCTGCCCTCAGTTTCCATTCTGTGAAAAGCAGATAATACAGCTCCTCCTGGGCTATTGTAAGGAGTTAAGTGTCTGCTATTAGCCCTGGTAGATAAGAAAAGCTTACAAAATGGCAAATCCAATTCGCTTCCAAATTATTTCTAATCTGTCCCAGTGATAGTTATAGAGACAGGGGATTTCTTCCTGCAAAGTTTAAGCATAAAAGCTTCAAAGGAATCCTTTAATCTGCTCAACAATTTCAAAACTTAATAAGAAATTTAGAAGTAAGCGATGTGGAGAGAGCCTGCTGCCTGTGGAATTCTAATCTCACACTGATGTTTGAGGCGCTAGGCCAAAGGAATGTTCCTTGAGGTTCCATGACGTGTTAGAACTTGTGCCTCTGTGATCAACATGTTCATCCGAGCCTCTGCAGCATTTCATCCAGTTTGTTCCTTCCACGGATATCTAGTAAGCAACTGTTTCATGCCTATTCTGGATGCTGGGGCCATAAGAGAGAACAGAGTCCCAGAGCCACGTTCTGGCAGAAGAAACTGACAGCGAAGATAAATATCAGACTGTGCTAATGCGAGATGGATAAGCAGAGAAGAAACAGGGGCGACTGCCACTTGCTGTTTCAGGGAAAGGGTCTCCAGATGCCTCAGCACTGGCCCTCTGTGAGAGGAGGCAGCCCCTTTCCAGTCTATGTGACACTCTGCTGTCCCGAGGTCAGTGCATTATTTGAGTAACAGCATCACTGCCAAGTTGCCAGTTTTCCCCACTGTATTGTTAGTTTATTAAGGCTAAGGATGAGGCCTACCAGTCTCTGCATTGCCAGCCTATTGTGTGTGTGTGCATGTGCGGGGACACACACACACACACACACACATTTTCATAGGACTTTCAGAAAATGTTGAATGACTGAATAAGAAAGAAAACTGAAGCCTTCTGAAGACTTGCCCTTCTTTCCTAGTGAGAGTAGCAGAGGGTGAGTCACATGTTACAGCTCATCCTATGGTGCCAAGGGCAGAGCTGTAAAGGGTAGCCTGCATTAGAATCTCCTGGCAGGCCTGGAAGCCAACTTGCCAGGCCATCCCCACAGCCTGTAGTCCTGCAGGTCCAGTGGGGCCTGGAGCTACATCTCCAGAAGGTCCCCAGACAATGCTGATGCTGTGGGGTGGGGAGCTTTCCCCAAGGTCACTTCTCAAGAGAGCAAGCAGTTGACTTTGATCTTTTGTGAGACTGGCCTGTAGTGTCCTTAAGTAGACTTCTGGGCCTTTCTGATATTCCTCACAGAGACGGGCACATGGTAAGCTCTCTCTAGGTGCCCCAGTGGCAGATTTGCAGTACCTTGATTCCTGAGAAGGAGTTTTCATAAACATCTGTGATACAATTAAAATTAAATCTAGGAGGGCTGGCGACGTAGCTCGGTGGTACAGAGCTTGCCTAGCGTGGGCAAGGTCTTGGGTTCAATCCCTAGCACCCAAAACAAAACCAACAAAACAGAACAACAAAAAAAAATCTAGGCATTAAAATGCTTATTTGGGGGCAAGTCTAGAAATACCTGTGTGGGGAATCCATAAACCTGTCAGCCCTGCCCATCCAGAAATTTCCCCAGGCTAGGGGTAGTCAGCACAGCGCCAGGATTCTCAGAAACCCTCACGTCTTTGGAGTTTGTGACCCTGTTGCTGAGAAGTACCTGGTGGTTCATTTTCGGGATCTCCAGGGATTCTGAGGCACCTTCTTAGCGCCAGGCAGGTCTTGGGAACTGTCATTACAAACCATTTTGTGCCTTTGTATTCAGCATGATTGATCTGCAGACAGTGGGGGAAGAACCAGACGGTAGGAGAAAATGTGTACTTTTATTGCATTCTTGCCAAATAGGAAAATTGAGTTAGATCTGCTATTCAGAATGACTGACAGAAAACAAATATGTTTGCTTTGAGTAAGGACATTTAGGTGACATTATTAGTTCCTACAAAATCCAAAGCAGTTTAGAGACTACATCAAACAAAATGATTCTATCTCTCGCTTCCAGAAATGTCACAATGGAAAAACCCCATGTTTGGCTTTAAGCAGACCTGGAATGACCCTTGCTTTTCCCCAGTGTTGCCACAGTGGATGAGTTACTTCAACGCATAAGTGAGCTGGAGGGGACCCTTGGTATACCCAGGGGACTTCCTACAGTGGGACAGGCCACACAGAACCCAGCATAGGAGCACGCCAGGCCTCCTGGAGCTAAGCAGACATAGGCCCTGTGTTCCCGCTCTGGTGTGCATGCTTCCTGGCACCTCAATGTCACATGATGGAGATGTTGGCCCACCAAAGCCCAGGCTTCACAGAAGCAGAAAATATTATCCTCTCATCTTTAACCATGCCTAGCAGAATGCCTGGCATATCCCAGATGTCCAGTAAGTGACTGTTACTACCAAAAGGTTGAAAGTTATCTTGCAAAGGAGGGGCCATCTACCCTCAGCTGACTGGTGGGAGGCACCTTGCAAAGAGCTGCGAGAGCCAACACCAGGGGGATGAGCTGCTTGTACGTGTTAAGAGGAATGGAGCCAAAGTGCGGCAATGACAGAAGAGGGCAGAGAGAGAAGGGGAGACCACAGTGCAGACTCCTGAGTGCAACTCAGTTGATCCAAGCCAGATAGCATGGCTGTGGGGCCATCTTGAGCCTGCAAGGGGCAGTAACCATGGCCTTCCCCGAGCCCAAGTTTATTGGCTTTGTCAGCCCAAACTTGAACATCCTGGGTTTTTTTCCTTGCTCTGTCAAGGAAGACACAAGACAGAATTACCTGATGTCCATCTCAGATTAGATAAAAGCTTTCCTAGGATATGGAAAATCACTACTTTATAAATAACAGCCCTGAAGAAAGACTGAAGACAAGAAATAGAAATAAGGAAAAAGCATTAAAAGCTGTAGAAAAGGCTTTGGCCAACTTTGAAAACAGTCCCATAACTTTACAAGATAATTATTTTATATTCCTAGTTTGTTAAGCTTTTTTTTTTTTTTTTTTAAACCAGGAATGAGTGTTAGATTTTCCTCAGTTGCTTTGTGTGTTTTGAGATGAGCATATGGACTTTCTATCTTAGTTTGTTAACATGATGACTTTCAAGGATTAATTGCAGCATGTCAAACCAACCTTGCATTCTTGGGATAACCCTTCCTGGTCATGATGTAGCATCCAGCCTCAAAGCATATGCAATGCTTAGGAATGAATCTGACAGAAGGTGTGAAGGATCTGAGATACTCAGCAGGGAAGACGATCAGGGTCTGAAAAAAGACAGGAGGCTGTTTGTGGGGAGAAGAGTGGCTGCACTTCACTGGTGTCTCTGGATAATATAGGACTATTTTGGGGAGAGGATCAGCACTAAGAGTGTGGAATGCCAAGACTGAATGCAAGATGTGGAAGGTGGTGACTCTGGCACCTCTGAGGAGAATGTGGGGAAAGTGAACAGGAGTCTTGAGTTCT